GAAGGACAAATCACCTAGCATTCCCTGAAGAGTCTACACTTACGGTCTAATCACACATTCTTGTATCAAACATGGTCATTTCTAGAAAAGCGTAAGGTTTAGAGGGTGACAGCAGTTTGGCCCAAATAGGTACTTTGACAGCACAGGTTACTAACTCTGTTTTCTGTATGAGTTGTCACTGGACTCTGCTGGCTTGCACTGCATTTTTTTCTCAAGGAAAAGCTTTGTAAAAACTATTTGAGCTTCACTGAGACATGTTAAAGAATTAATTACAAAGTAAAGCTGAAGGAGAAAATTAATTTTGGAAACACAAGAGGTTACTTTTCTTTTCCTCCCTTTTCTGGAAGTGGGGGAGGAAAGGCAGTTATTTTCATCTTCATGCTGGGGGCAGGAGTTGGGAGCTGTCCAGTCGATAACCTGGCCATCAGAACAAGGTTTGTAATTAAAAGGTCAGTGACCTGGAAAGCTAGGGCCTCACTCTCAGGGCTTCTCAGTAATGACGGCGCTATTAAATTAAGACTGTTATGAAATCAATGCTAAAAAAGCTTTCATGGTAACGAGATTCCATTCAAGGACATGCAAACTGCCTCATGAAATGGACTTAAATTATAAAAAAGAAAAGTAATAAAAGAGGGTTAAATTGAAATCTGCTGAAGAATTTACTTCCTTTAAAGCCCTCCAGCAGTGGGTTGTGCCCTCTTCTCTCAGGTCCTCAAGGTGATCCACTATGGGTTTCTTTGGCAAAGAAGAAAAGATAGGGGTTCAACTTCTGAGAATGCAAAGAGGAAGAAAATTAAGTCAGTTTGCTACTGGAGATTCTGGGGCTGACAGCATTTGTTTCCAGGGAACTAAATGTCTTTGAGCTCTCATTGGGAAGGGGCATGTACAATTAAATAATTTATTCATCTCTTCAGAAATCACCATAGCCTGACACTGGCAAAATGTTCTGGAACTCAGATGCACTACAAAAAACTGCGCAAGACCTACATGAAAACCTTGTGTAGTAACTCACTTCCTACCAGCCAAAGCAATGAAGGGGATTAGCAGATACAATATGCATAAGGCCAACACTTCCAACACCCTCCAACTCACCAAGCAAAGGTGCGATTGCTTTTGGAAGCTTGTAGCCCATTACGTTACATATATATAGAAAAGATCAATTCAGGTAGCATATCTTCTGAAGACTGTCCAACCTCCTGGGTAGGTATTTTCCCAATATAACTCAACAATTATACATTTACTTGCCCTAATGCAGCTCTGTTCTCCCATCACTATAATTTCTGAGCTCCTCATATGCTTTTGTCTGTTCCCACAATCCCACTCTGGGAAGGCATTACTGTACTCATTTTACAGACAGAGAGAACGAGCAACTAAGAAAAAAAGTTCTTCATCCAAGATTACACACTAAGTCTGTAACCTAGCAGTTTTTCCCTTCCCTGCCCCAAAAGACTAGCACCCTGAAAAACAGAGCTCCACAAATATAGTGCACTTCCACCCCCTTTCTCCATCTTGCCAGAAGTTACAGATTCAGAGCACACAAAATTAACAAGCCGCATGAGTTACCGGATGGGTAACTGAGCGGTGCAGGACATCTGAGGCACAACAGTTAGATGACAGACACATTTCCACAAGGGTTTAAACCCCACATGCTGTCTAATTACTCCCAAGGCGCCGCTGATTCTGTGGCATGTCATCAGCAGAATCAGCGAGTTGGACAAAAAACAAACAGCATCTTTTTTTCCTTTCTTTTCTTTCAGATACTCTGAGGGGAAACAGCTGTTTTTCCCTTCATCTGAAGAAGTTCATGATAAAAAGGAGGAAATGTCATAAATTACACAAAATGCCAGTGTAAGCTTCAAAGAAAATGATAAATGATTGTAATAACTTCATGTTTCTCATTAATGCCTCTGTACTTGGGAGTTTAAAAGTGCTTAAGACAACAGAGAAATCTCATCCAACTTTTGAAAGACCTTTCACAAATCCAGGACACCCTCACTCTCCCAACTGTCATCAACACTATCATCACATGTTCCAGAGAGTGCAGTTCAGCAAACCCATGACCTGTAAGCAACCAGGAAAGCCTACTTTCAGTCTCTGCAACTACTGTTTCACAAGAAACCAAACCCAGTCTAGCTGATGATCCTGAAGAAACTTTCATTTCTCACTGCACTGGAATGGATTAAACAAAATCCAGTTCCTGTATTAAATCTTAAATAATGTTGAAAGAAAATAAAATTTGACTGGCCTGTTTTAGGAAGGAGACGCTTATAAAAAGGAAGAAGAAATGATAATTCAAGGCGGAAGCATCTCTGCAAGTCTCAAAAGTGAAATTTCTTAGGCAAAGTAGAGATTGCAGGACCTGAAAGTTCACCCACAGTTGATGCTCCAGTCCTATCCCCGTAGCCTACACAGGCTGTAGCTGAGGTAGTGGAAGGCTCCTGCAGGGATAGGGCACCTGGCCTTTTCCCTCAGCATTCACAGACACAAGGTGACCCAGCACTCTCCACTGCAGGAGTTTTTAACCAGACTTAGTGGGGAGTCACAGACCTCTCCCGTACTAGTTCCACAAAAGTAACTACAATAGACAAGTTTACACATGGTGTGCAATTATCTATAGATAGGAAATTCCCCTCCACAGAAATTCTTCTAGGGTCCATAAAAAGATCTTCTACTGCCATTTCTGCTTGAAGAAACTTTGGGTCACAGTAACTGTGAAAAAAATACAAGGGTACCCCTGCATTATTTCCTACAAAGATAATTTTAAAAGAGACTCTTGTAACTGAAATGGTTTCTCTACAGAAAATGCTTGTTTGACTGGCAGTGAGAACTTCTCTACCAGACAGCCTAACTATCTGTAAAATGGGGATAAACATTATCATTGGGATGGCAATGACTGTGTATCACAGAATAGAGGGAACAGCCTACCAAACTGTGTAATCTCTCATCTGCTCAGGACTAAACCAGCCACATCATCTATGTTTCAAGAACAATTGCCTCCATCTGCTAGAGCACATAGGTACCACATAGCATGTACCTTCTGCTCTCGAGCACTGAACAGAGGTCATGTTGTAAGCTCCGTGGTCAGATTCCATATGGACGTATTTCCAGTGACTGCTGGGTACAGGCACTACTGGACCCTGCTCCTTCCTGTCTCCTACTGTTAAGTTTTCCAACAAACAATTAGCACAAAGGGAAGGAGGGCTAATTAACAGTCAGAAACAAACAAACAGCTCTACCAAACCATTTCTGCTCTTTAGTAATTATTAGCCAAGTAATTCATAAGAAGTATTAGACGGGCCACAGTTTCTGTGTGCCTCCATCTCCCCACCCTTTCTCTTCTCCCAGTCAGGGATTTATTAAAATTAAACAGATTAGATGGAGCTCCTGATACTGAAAACTGTTCAGCGAAGCCTGCGGTGGGGAAGTGCAGAGCAAACACCAGAGACATTTGTCTCTAAATTGCTCTAAATACCTTCTGCAAATGAAATTCTAACCCAGCTGTGTTGAGAGAGAAAATGAGGAATAACTGGTCATTGTCAGCACAGAAGAAGATCAGGCAGTTATAATATTGCACGATATACTGGGGGCTAAGGATCTCTCGGCAACAATAGATTTTGTATCAGGTTACCCCGGGTAATCAGCACAGCTTTTAGGCTCAGCTTTCCCTTGCTTCATTGCTTCGATGATAGAGTTGAAATCCCCAAGCTTTTATGATTAATTACTCCCTGTAGGTCCACATATTTCAAGGAAAAACTCATGGAGCACAGCGGCCAACAGGCTCCAAATTTTAATGCCATCCTGATGGTAGGGCAGGCCAAGCAACATACCTATGTGATTGGAATGTTCTCTAACTGGCACTGAGACAAGCAGTGAGAGGATCGTGCTCAAAAGGATGTATCCATGAACCACTTGTCATGACATCATTGCTATAACACAAGACTGCCATTCCCTTCCAGCTCGTTTGCTAGTCAAGATGAGGAAAGTGGTACGTACACTTGAACTCTCTCAGATTTCAGGCATTTCAACAAAAAGTTCATAACCCCAAACGAAATAATATATATATTTCATAGGCTTCCCTACTCTTCAAAACTCAAGTTCTTTAGCTGTAGAATTTGATGTATCCTGAAGTACTTACAATTTCAATGTATAAGTGGGTCAGTGCCCTCTGAAGTTTGGAGTTTGTATTTTCAGTATCATTCCAACTGCTTAAAGCGCTCCATAGTGCATGTAATTAACTCTAAGGTAAGATCATCCTTATTATTTACATCTTGTGGTAAGGATCTAAGCAATATGGTCCCAGGAGGGTAGCGTAATATGGAGTGAACTTGACCTGAAATGCACTGTAAGTTGTGGACTAAAAACTTTAGAAAGAAAAAGAACAAAAGATAGTTCCGCTATGAGTCAGAAAGTAAAATGAATTCTCGGTAGGCAATGGCCAAAGTACGTTCCATCTGTCGAAGACGATATAGGATTTGTCAGGATCTGTTCTACCCCTGCTATAGAAAAGGGCTAAACTCAGTCAGTAGTTTACCATTTCAGCCTGAAAGTCAGGTTGACTCCAAGCTTGACCTTAACCTGACCTTGTTTACTTTCACCAAGTACTTCGCCCTTCATTCCTCTCTCTGGTCTCTTCGGAAGCATTCGACCTTTTCACCTAGAAGCTGGTCATTCTAAAGCCAATGTCACTAAGGTTAGAACTGACCAACTAATCCACAACAGTTCAGTCCTCATTTCAGAAAAGATCTGATAGTAGTTAACCCAAAACCTTCCAATGTGTCTTCTGTATTCCACAATTCCACATCTGGTGCCAATATTGCTCTAGTCAGTTTGGCAGAAAACATTTTCTTACAAACGTCAAATCTTTTTTTGAGACAGACTACTTGCTTTGCCCTCAGCATCTCATTTTCCATTGCAGTACGTTTTGGCTTTACGTTAACTCAAGCTCCCTCATTATCACTGAGACCACAAATTTTTAGAATCATAGAATCATAGAGTGGTACCTTTCTTCTTCAGAAACGCTCTTCTGGTTGCAAGAGGACTTTGGCGTACTCGTGGATTCTGTAAAAACTTCACTGCTGTCACAATCTGATGAAAGTAAGAGGATTGGAGAAACAGAAGAGAGAAAAGATTCAAGTTAGGAACGGTTAAATTCCTACTTTACGTTATGCATTCTGTACTGCAAAGAAAGGCACCACATCCAACACATGGAGATGGTCTGGAGCTGATATCGATCCAACTTTCAGAAATGGTTCAACAAGCATCAGAGTTTGTGGCTCAATTCTAATCAGACAGCACAATTATGGTATTTCAACCTAGAAGTTCCTTGTTGAATTACTCGTGGAGCAGCTCAATGTGCACAAAACACTCCATTAAGATTCTTAGGGGTTTCTGTAATTTATATTATGATCTTCTTACCTAAGTTGGCTCCTATAGTTGAGGACAACCTTACGAAAATGCATGTCATCTGTAACAGTAGGCTCACTAGTAAGAATGCTTCCTTTCTATCTGATTTAAAGCTCCCTACAAATTCTCAGGGATTAAGGCCTTTTCTGCCATCATTCTAATTTTCTGAAAGCATTAAATAAACCTCAGCTTGTCATGACTGGAAAAGAAGCAACTTCACGAGTTTTGCATCACGTAACAAAAATATCAGAAAAGTCACTTTTCATGACATAAATGGGTAGGTGGGCAGTTAAATCTATGTTCCACACCAGCAGAAATCACACATTACTTTTGTCTAAAGACTGGCTTCTACATCCTTTAAGATGACACAGCACTTAAAACAAACTATTTATTCCAACAAAGGGTAAAGTATGGGATAATATTCAGTGGCATCAACGACAACGGCACTAGTTTTTTTACATTTTTTACATTTCCATTTTGTGGCCATGAAAAGTATTTGATTTTTTTCTTCATGTGGTAGGTCGACTTTCCACATACTCTCCTGTGCTATTACACACATTACTGCATGTCGCTGCACTAGTGAAAAACAGTTGATTCCCTTTACTTTTACACAAAGACATCTGTTCTGATTGTGGAAGAGGGAACAATTTGCCTGAAGTTAACAGCACTTAGGAGATGGACACATCCATGTGAACTATGGAAGAGATGACTTCCTTCCTCTAGAGCTAAAAATAACCACGCATATACATGGAAGAGGTTTTTCTCTCCAAACAGTGGCCTAAACCTTCTCCTAAAATGGTGGTATATGCTAGACCTATGTTAGGTAGGTCTTGAAGAGTTTATCCTAAAACATGGTTTCTGGAATTCAGTTCCAAAAAGGTTTTCAGAACTTTTCACAGCAGAATAAGAAGGAAAAAAACCCCAGCATCACTACTGAAATCACTAAGTTTCACTTTGCGCTTGAATCAAACCCTTCCAATATGCATTTCTGGTCAGAGAGCAAAGTTCTGATGGGTTTAATGGCACTTTCAATGTACTCCTCAGTGCATTCCATCAATGTTTTTTTTCTTTTAAATTGCATCTCTTATTTCTTTAAATACATTAATCAGGCTAGTGTAGGCAAAACGGATCCATTGGACAATGCAATAAACATGAATTATCATCTATCCAACACGCATAATGGCTTAAAAATACATAATAGCAGGTGTAGTTTAAATGATTAGTTATTACACCTGTGGTGGGTCTGATTCAATTGGGGAAAATCATCTTTAATAGGTTAAAAGGTTTAGATCACCAGGCTTCCCTTAAAGTGGCTGTAGAGAGGGTATGATGGAGTACGCTGTCATTACTAATTCATTTAAGAAAAACATGGGGGATACAGCAAAGAACAGCATAAACGAGCGAATCCAATTTAAACATCAGGTAAAGCAGAAAACACCTTTTAAAAAAGCATGATAAATGAATTTGGGAGAGAGATGAAATTGACATATTTATTTTAACGGGAATTTGACAAAGTCCCAGCACACTTCAAAGTTGGGAGGATAAAATGAATGGAGTATTTTTAATTATTTTCCTTTTCTTATTTTCCTTCCTTTTTTCCCTTAAGTTTATATTCAGTAATTTTGGACCATAAAATACTATGGCAAAACACCCCACATAAAGTACACTTCAGTTTCATTTATGTGCACTTGATCTGTCTCCAGCTGAAACGCAGGTGACAGGCAAATCACAGATTTAAACTGTGCTGATATTGCTATGCCAGATGCAGAAATATAAAGCACCCAAACTAATAACCTTAAGATAATATGCTGAATAAGAAAGATGCCCAAACGAGCAGACCAACAGATATGTGAACATATCAAAAGCACTTTCCTTCTAACAATAATTACTTGTTTGTTTCTTCAGAAACTCAGCACTCTCTCTCACATTTAGTGGCGAGACACAGACACAAAAGGCCTGCAGACCTGAAATTCTGCAAGCTCTCAGATTTAATTATCAGTTTTTAAGCATTAAAAAACCTGTAAGAAATAAGCAGTATTTTTCATTGTGCTATTTCAATCACAACCATGTGAACATTTTATTGATTCTAACTCTTTATTAAAACTTATTTTTGCCTTGTAAAAATGTAAACATTTCAGTAGTAAATTTCACTCCAAAATAAATTTCTGGTTTATCTCTTCCCTGCATCACTTCCTCCATTATTCACAGAGTTTTTAATCTTTAAAAAAAAAAAAAAGTTACCACCACCACCAAATTTCATAAAAAAGAATCCTGGACACGTATTCCTCCTCCCAATAACCCTATGTTTCTCATATTTGTGTTTGCATTTACCTCTGAACATTCCTCCTATAGACTGAGCTGAAACTTCTTCATTTTTATAATTCATCTTGTATACACGAGCAACTTATGAAGCAATTTTGGCCACATCAAAATGCCAATATTTTCAACAAACATACACAAGAACTTCCCTACCTTCTACGGATCATTTTCTCTGCACAAACAAGGGCAACTGCAGTCCATAATTTAAACAATATAAAAAGGAGGAGGAAGATGAGAAGACTTTGCAGTCCTGTGTATAGCCAAAAAAATCATGCAGCAAATAGCACTCTGACTCAGCTGGTAACATCATTCCATACTATTTCTGTATCATATGCAGCACTTCTCCAAATTTTTGTAGTATTAGGACACTGCCAAATAGCGTGCATTGTATCACTACTCTGATTCTTAGATTGCCAACACACACTGGCCAGCAAACTAATTTTATCTAGTGGATCAGGTACACGTTTCTCTTAATGAAAGACACTGGTTTGGGCTTTTAAAAGCAAGTCAATTCCATAAACTTGCTATCCTACCACCACTTTTCCTGCAGTGGTAGGATACACAAAGACATATTTCCGACTGGCTGGTGGTGGGTAGAATCCTGCAGCAGGTCTTGTCCTACAGTTTAATTTTCTAATTAAAAGATGAATGTTAACTGTTCATGGATTATATTTGTGCCTGGCCAAATTACATAAATTCAGGCCAAATATTCCGCTTCAATGTCAAAGATATAAAATGGAGACAGGAACTTTATTGCAGATGTTGTGGGAGTGCAGCAGGCTAGCGAAATTCCGGGCCAAAGCACAGCACTTGGACGTTATAGCCAAGGCCCCTTGTTCCTAATTTCCCTCCCTTTTGTGTTAAACAGGGAAAGTAAAGCCAGCCTTATTTCTTATTATGCTCAAAGCTGCAGTTTCCAATGAAACTCTAAGCTACTTTATTAGTCTAAGCTACTTTATTAGTTACTAGCACTAGAAAAATAAACCATGAAATTTAAAATACTGCAGCAAATACCCACTTTCTACCATCTCAAAAAATCCCAACTGAATTGATTAACAAAAATCTAAAAGAAAATCGCCTTCATCGACAAAAGTTCCACGGGATGCGGTAACCGAGTTCCAAGTGGCAAACAGAATCACGAGCCACCAGGAGCGCAGCCTGCAGGAGCTCTAATAGATATTCCTAATACTGGGAACCCTCTGCAGGTTATTACCAAAGAGCGTTTGTTGATAGACTGAGACTTTGAGATGACCTGTGATGTAAAGGTTGGGTCTGAATTATACGTTGCAAGGGACGGTATTTTGTCTTTCTGAGTGGATCTGTATCTGTTTAAATGCAACACTTCTTTTCATTAAGCAGAGGCGGCACAGGCCATGAACTATGCACAGACAGTTTACATTACATGTGCGGAAGCAATCAACACTGGCAATATACATGACATATGTAAAAGAAGTCGGAATTAATTTTTTTCCAGTGTATTAAAAAATAATAATATGGCAGTATCAACACACACTCAACCTATTTCAGCCAGAGCAGAAGGCCACGGCTATAGGGCAAATGGAACTGATCGATATATTAGCCTACAGCAACACCCCCTCAGTGCACGGCTGTATGTTTGCAAGGCTCAGAAGATTAAATTGTCTGTGAAAGGTTTCTGCACTCCTACTCTAAAGGAGATACCCAGAATCCTGTTAACAAGCATCAGGCTAAAGCCAACTTACGTTTTAACAAGGGCTGACTTAAAAGCCCGGCACTGCAACGAACAAGAAAACCCCTTCAAACAGAAATGCTGCATTTTAGTAAGAAATCAGTGCTCTGCCAGGACTAACTTGACAAATATGGTTATCGGTGGCACACGGAAATAGTTGCAAAGCAGCTGTTAATCAGGGAAACACATCATAGAACGCTGATGCTAGCACTCATGAAAAAATGCAAGGGGCTAATTATGAAGCCATATATCTCACTAAAGAGGCACTGTTCCTGGAGATTCCAGGCAGAGCTCTCTCAGAGTCGGGGTCCTGGGACACTAAATACACAATATTCTCTAACAGAAGCTTCCTTCTCCCAGGACAAATCTTAGCCCAATTCAGTGTTCTGGGCCCCAGAACTCCTGTGAAATTTGTATTTCACAGAAACTGCGTATTATTTCCGAAGAAAGTATCTGCAGGTTGGTCAGGAGAGAGGAAACCCTTTAAAGCTCCTATGATTCCATTGAAATTTTCAGGAAACCATTCAGAACCCCAGGAATTATTTCTGTTGTGAGAGAACCTAGAAACCTACAAGGTTTGACAGATCTCAAAGTCCTATGGAGAAAAGTTTACAAATGCAACAACAACAATTTTAAAAACCCTCATATAGAACAG